CAGGGCGATGAGTATGAAGATTTCTGTCTTCTGGGTTGTTGCGCTGTGTAGTCTGGTCGATGTTAACCAACGTTTCAGAGATCATACTGCCTCAGTCATCAGGGCGATTCATCGAAACAACCCAGAAGACAGAAATCTTCATACTCATCGCTGTGAAAACCTCAAATCATACAAAAACACTAATGTTAACGCCGTCCACAAAGGATAGAAATAATGCGATGAGCTGTAAACGTGTCTGAACACGCAACAACAAATTGGTATACGTGCGTCACAGTAGCGTACATGGGCGGTGAGATTTTCGAATGTGCGTAATGCTTATTATGTTACAATGTCTATTGTGTAAGAACACCACTGATTGTGACTGGCTTTAATCTGTTGATTGCTCTCAGACGACGACGACGAAGGCAGCGATCTGGTGGTGGCAGTGACGCTGGAAGACGGCCAACCCATGCAGCTACCAACAGGACAATGGCCTCTGCCTGTCGCAAGTACCTCAGCGTCTTCTTGTTTGCTCTCGTACATGAAGCAGTGCACTCACAGCGTAAGTAGCGATGGTTCACCAACACTGACCCTGTCACTTTATTACCTCTTTCACGGAATGACAAAGAAGTTCTTCTACAACGAATTTTGTTCTTAGACGAAAACAAGCGAAAAAGCATGTGAAAGAACCTCAGATGTTACCACCGAAACATCTGGATCTTTTTAATGTGTCTGCTTATGGGATTATGGATTTTAAAGCATCAAATGTAACTTGGACAACAGCTAAAATTTTCTTCTAACACGATTCACATAAGAAATCAACTGAATTAGTTACTTCTTGAGATATAATCGTTTGATAGAACTAGAATTTTTATTAATGTTCGGTTAAATGAGCCCATATAAAACATTTTATAACTCGAAACTTTTGGTTAAAGAACAAAGTATTTTTGGCGTATTTCATGCAAAACTTGCGTTTATTTGCTTCAAGGACGATGTATCGTTTTGGATTATGGGCTAAGCCGTTAAAAGACACATATGATAAGGTACACATCATTAAATAATGTACATGATACATAAATTATATCCTGTACTCAGAATTGTTAACAAACAAATAAAAACATTAGGCTACGTGCTCTCAATCCTCTCTTAGACTCGAATACTCTCTGCAGCACTCCTTTTTGAAGACCCTCGATCTATGTTTTCCGCTTATTTTTAATGCAATACCCGGAAACCAGTGTAAAAATCACGCTACTTCTCTCGCTTTAGTATGAAGCTGTCACTTGCGCCAGGCAGAGCTCAAACAATTTCAGAAGTTAAATCCGTATAAGGGACCATCTATTTTGATTACGTTCAGTGGCGAATGCTCCGATCTGGCTAGTAATATGCCACCAAACCACTGTGGTGGGCTTTTTAGGGCTGTTCAGTAATACCGGATTTCCACACGACGTGACTTCTAAGAGAGGATTCGCCAGTCATTATGTAGTACAAATATTCCGCAGAAGTATCCTCCTAAAATATGAAACTTTTTTCTAATAACCTATAATAATCCTAACTATTAATTTATTTGGAAAGCTTGAGTAGGCAACGTAACCCAGAAATACTTCTGACGTGGCAGGAGGCAGATTGCTCACAGAACTTTCTCCTTTCTGTATATATAGACCAATATACACACACTGATATTGAGGAAGAAGCAACCAGGTGGTAAGCCACACGCTAATTTATCATGACAAATCTGTCAGTACGGAAAGTGGATTCTAATCAGACTGATCAGATGATTGTACTGATGAATGCAGGTGTTTTAGTTCATTCCTATCACTCAAATGCTCTGCAAACCGTACACACCGAACGTCGTGTTAGAGTGATTAGTACCTCCACTTCGTATTTTCTACCTCCGGGTTCGTATCTTGAGCAATATCGATTGAGGTTCTGCAAACGTTTACCTCAGTCCCATCAGGAAATACTGGGATAATAATTTATATAGCTCATGACCACTTCCCTTCAAAATTCATCACTCAGCAACAGCGCTGAAGTTTAAATAGATAATTTTGGAGAAAGGGGAGTGTTTTGAGGTGCAGAAACTCAAAGATTATCTGCTGATAGTGTGCACCGACTCGTAGAAGCTGCCTACAGTCCCATTCAATTGAAATATAATAGTTGAAATAATACAAGGATCGAACATAGTTACAGCAGTCGAGATAATTAAACTTCTTTGGTATGAAACTAAAGTTCGAGAAAAGGAGTATCGATTATAAAGTTGTAAATGATCAAACTGCATTAGCTTTAATTTCCTCGGTGATTACTTACGTATTTCCTTCTAAATGTGCAAGTTTTTGAACAAGTCTCAAGACGTGATTTGTGAACTGGCTGCACGCTAATCGTTACACAGCTGAAGTTTAAATGGAGAAGTTTGGCAAGCGGGCGGAAGGTTCTTTAACGTGGAAAAACTCATGATAGTCTGATAATGAGACATTCATTCGAAAAAGCTGTAGCAGTCATATCCAGCATATGGGCCTATAAAAAACTACTCAAAAATTCGAAAACTAAAACAAAAAAAACGTCAGTAATAACATATTGCTCGCCAGACGACATTCATTCGGTGAATATACTGATTATAAATTAGATGTGATGGGTCTACTGCAAACCTATTCATGTTTTGAAGAGTCAGAAATTATTTTTCTTTGTATATTCTTAAAAATTCGCCACGTTAAAAGAACGTTTCAAATATAAGTTGCAGATATCAATGCGTTGTATCATCTGTGTTATACAGCAGCTCTTTTTTGAGATGAACCGAGAATAATCAATAACATTCTACTGAACGTCAAGCGATATTTATATTTTACCGATACGAGCCAAAATCAAATTCACCCGGTAACTTATAGCGTAAAAACCAATACTAAATTTAATCGAAAAACTTTCAGTAATTTCGGACCCGAAACACCTGAGACTAACAAATAGGACATCCAGTTATGCTTCTGTTTTATACAAGAAATACATTTAAACATAAAAGGAAATAATCATCACGGTATTTTCATGGTTTTAATTCTAATATAACATGAAAATAAGTGTCTTTCGCTTTTGGCTTTATCTGTGATTCAAAACGACTCTATTCCTTGCAAGTACGCCAACATTCACAGTACCCCATTCGTGTGACCCAGTATCCAATATCATAAATAATAATACCGGGAATGAGCAAGTCAAGACCCACCCTGGGATGTAGCGCCAATGATGATGATGAGTATGTGAAAATACGTATAAGAGAGTGTGTTTTCGTGTGGCAATGACGAATAAGGCACACCCCATTCCCGATTTCCCTTCTCTAGAGCATGTGATTGATATAGCAGATAACCTACTTACAAATATCCATTTTCTCCCATATGAGATTATCTGCTGGACCGGATGAAACGCGTGGGATATTCCGAAAGGAATCTTCAACTGAAAAGTAAAAGTATATTGCTTTGCAATACACGTGTTATGCCAATCTCAGTAAAATTATATTTGCTGAATTAACATTCATGTTTCATTTACGCGTGCGTGCCTGCTTCCGCCAAGAGTGGAAACTTGTATTCAGATTTTAATGTCTACACGTTCTTTCCAAACGCATTCTTTCACGAATTTACATCCCTAACTCTTGGTGTCAGCGACGACAGATCTGTCAGCATAGCCACGAGGTGGGACAATGCAGAGTGCAGGATCAGTACACCTACCGCAAAATTCTTCTTTTACATCCGTTGAATAGAAGTGAGATGAACGAAAGGACAGACGAACAGAAGGACAGGACATCTCAATTATGAATTCATTATTTGTACTTCCTGCTACGAAATCATAAAACAATAAAATACTCCAAATCAGATTATGTCCAATTTAGAAGCATTAATCGTTTCTACTTCCTTCAAACATCGTGCGTTTTACTTTACAGTGCAATTAACAATGAGATTAATTCATGACCTGTTAACAACCTTGTGGCCGTCCCACGCTCTCCATATCCGTTTGCAATTTAAACGAATCACAATTCCATCTACTTTTGTTCGGTACTGTGGATATTGTAGGCGACATTAATAGAATCAGGGACCTTACTTATTTTGGAGGGAAACAGTAGAAACAAGAGAATCCCGGACAAAGGCAACCTAGTGCTGCTTTGTGGGATTTCAGGTTCTGACTTTGGATTCAGAGGCAACTTCGCCAAGCCACGTTCATCGATTACAAGACGCGATGGCTGTGTACTTCGCTGCGAACTAATTTCTGTCAGATTCGGTTATGAGCTCCATGTTTGTTCGGCTGGAAGAAGAATAAATTTAAGTCACGCTAGAAGACTGAGCGGAACAAGAATAGCATGACGTAGTATCAGTAGCATGAACTTGTGCCACCGGCATGGGCTGACATGAAAACTCTGGTCCGCGATTACAGTTACTATTGCAAGACACATCAAATACTCTGACCATAACACAGACAGAACTTATCGTGCTTCTGCAGTTTAAATAGTCGACTCAATTTGTGATTACTGACATCACTTGAGAAGGAGAAACTGAAATGGAGGCTGAAAACGAATACCGATTTTTAACAGACAGACTTTACTCGAAATCTTAAAGTAATGCAGTGCCTCTGCAGTGAACACAAAGACTTTGAAACTCATAGGCTTAACTGATTTTGCATCCAACAGCAAGTCTGAGTATGATTGTTTTAAAATACTGATTCTGACACAAGATACACAAACATACCTTTGCCAATGATAAATAAACGAGGATATACTAACTCGTACATAGCACTAGAAATGTCTAGTTCATTTTATTAATGTTTTCTGCTAAGAACGTGTCCTTGTTCACAAAACCTACTCCAGTTTCTTTATTTGTGTAGAAACTTAGTGTTTTGTACGTGGCCACATCACAAACCTCCATTAGCTAAGGTCCAGTCAAGCCATGCAGTTTTACAATGCTTATAACCCATTTATTGGGTATCGTATTTTTCAGTTCCCTTACTATGAATTATCTCCGTAACTTAATAGCTGCATAAATTTCGCACTTAATCAAGCATAAATACATAGTCACAAGTCACATCATTAAAAAACCTAAAAAGCACAATTTCGTTAACAAAAAGACAACGGACACGTATGAGAAGCGTTTATGAAAATCTTACGGTTTACCTAAGTGCAGGCCTACCTTACGGACTGATTGATGTGTCGACTGTTTAGCGGAAGTGAAAGCCATAAATAAGACAACAGTCAGACATAAGCTGAACAGTTAGTTTGCATTCCAACACTCGCCGAAATGGAGGATCTGGAACAAACAACGTGAATTATCACCATTAATACATTAGTCTAGCAATGGAAATCATGAGATAGAAAATTGATGATTTGAATATGATATTGGTCAAGTACGGTAGAATTTGAAAATGCTTCAATATATAAATACATGGGATTTGATTCTCTGAACAATTCATCTCAGATTCTCGCAACATATTTCATTAAGTTACGTTCCCACAACACAATGACGTTGCCGCTGCCTGAAAATACAAAGTGATGACTGGAACCAAAGATGAAGTAGGAAAATGAATGAAAAATAAAGTAGAAGTGAACTAGGAACAAGATGCAACACAGCTTTACAAATAAAATTTCGAACGAAACGACACGAAAAGGAGATAAGTTTAAGTGATATAAGTTTCTGCTACGTATGCACAGTGGAACTCTTGAATGTGATCAGGTACTTCTGCCACGAAACCGAGCGGGTTATAAAAGGGGCAATGTGCCTGAATTACGTTCGGGCGTAACCGATTCAAATCTCAGCTGATTACAGATTATCATCAGTAAAGATTTTCAAGGAATTCCTTAGTTCTTTCAGAAAAGTGCAGACACATTGAGATGACGCCGACACTCAGAAAGGAAAGCGGAAACCAGTTTGGCATCTGATCAATCAGTTGTGAAGCCACATGTAGTAAGTAGATAGTAACTGATAATTTTGTCGAATTTATAAGTTGCTGGACAAGCCACAGACTATAAGCGGCCAAGTGAACTGTCGTTCTATGCTAACCGAAAAACGCTACGAACTTTTTAAGAAAACTGGCTCAAGTAAAAATATACATCACATCATAACGTGACTGCAATTGGGGCAAGACACATGACTTCTTGACCCTCGACGTACACGCATGATGAGGCGTTTGGTACGAAACAGCTACTACCGCTCGCGTGTCCAACCAATGAAGACGAGAACCACCTCCTATACACCACCTGTTGTGTGTTGTACTTCATATAAAGTGAAGGAGTCCAATTCACTGCATGTTCAATCTGTAGGAGCTTTGAAAGCATACGGAATTACGAAGCGTGCAGGTAACATATTTATGTTAGACCTCAAATGATGTTCAAAAATATGTTTTTGTAGAAATAATTATTTGTACGTCTAACCTCGTGGCTGTCTGGTCTAAGGCCACTGTAAATAGAGAATCACAAGTTCGAAACCCGTTAGGGACATGGATATTTGCGATTTTATAAGTTGTTCTGTCCTTCATTCAAGGAGGTTTGGACAACTTTCAGGATTCTCTGGTCGACACGGGCTGGAGCGCCTAAAGGGGAACTTCTTAGGCGTTTCAACGAATATGTGAACAACTGGAGAAAAATTTACTTTCGTGTTTTTTTTTTAATTTAACAAAGTCTTTAAATTTTAAAATATACACGGCATAATCACATATTTACTTACAGGGGAGTTTTTTGTAGGCTATGCCTGACTACTCTGGGGCGTGGGGGGTTAGGTTAAGTGCTCGAATACTAACGTACATATCAAGTAATATTTGTTTTGTCTATAACAACATTACAAATTTTTGAAATTAATAAACGAATTAAATAAATAATTACATTCGTACCGATGTCTCCAACTTCAGATAAACAACACAATTGCCTAGCACTTTACTCGAAAGTCCAGATGAAAGGTTCAGTTTGTCTCGTCCCATACTCAGACTCCATGAAACACACGTCTCCTTAAGAACCTAGCAGTCGAGAAGCTGGCCGAGAAATTCCAGGTCTCTTATGGGACCTGAACTTACACTGCCTCGTTTAAAGACGCCCGACACCGAACTATATTCTCATCTATTTTAATACAGATCATGTCCTAATTCTGTAATGTAATTTTAATATTATCCTGCCAATTTTGCCTGGGTCTTCCAGGTGGCCTCTTCCCTACAAATTCCCCGACAAAAACTCTGTATGTCTTTCTCATCTACGGTAATTATAGGCCTCTGTCCCGCCAACATAATCTTACTTTATTTCATCATCCCAATACTATTTGGCGAACAATGCAAATTATGAAGCTATATATCTCCTCTAGTAGCCACGGTGGTCTTGTAATCCTGGGGTCTCGGGTTCGATTCCCGGGGTGCCCGAATTTATAACTTGTGTAGGGCAAGGCCGTCGTCTAGGCAACACGGAGTTTTCCTCCGGGAGCTTCCCCGGTTTCTCCGTGGCATCCCAACAATTACTCCACTCACACACACAGAAGAAGGCAATGGCAAACCACTTCTGGATCATCTGCCAAGAACGTATATGAACAGGTCCCAGTCCGAGAAAAGGATGGAAGGATCCTGTTCATATGGACCTGTCGTCAGACAGAATACTAAATAAAGAAATAAAAATATCTCCTCTATCCCCAAGCGCCTACATGGCGTATAGTGGGACAGCTTTACTTACTTGCATATCCTTCGTGTTATTTCTTCTATTAGATCTGCATATTTTCATCATACATTTATTTTATACGCCCTCAATTTGTGTTTTCCCTTGGGATGAGAGACCACATTTCACGCCCATATAAAACAACAATAATCTAATGGTTTAATATTTTGATTTCTAAATGGGGGACCGGAATAATTTGAACTGAATGGCAGCAAGCATTTCCCAAATTCCGTCTGTTTTAATTTTGCTACTACAAGATATAAAATATTCATCATCTATTTAGCATGTAGATCACGTCCATATACAAGTCTTGTGAATTCCAGTGTTTTAAAATATTCGTGGGCAGAGTACTGTGAAATTTCTAGTTACAAAGGATCAATCATTGTATTCTTGGGTCACCCATTCGCATCTGTGTGGTAGATTTGTAGTCAACAAAACTTAGTTTTGCAAAGAGCCTTGTGTTACTAGCAAGAATGTGAGTCAACAGACAAGCTTTCCCTTGAAGCAGCCCCTGCCAAAGCACGCCGGAATCACGGTGCATGACCACCTTCTCAGCTTCCTGTTCTCCAGCCACTCTTTCTGTTCTTCTATTTAAATTGAAAGGAAAATCCTGTTTTGTGCTATTACAGTAAGTTTCGTTTCCTTATGTCCCGTGGGTTATGTTGGATGTAGCTTAAAGCATTTGCACGCCGGGAAAATATTTTACTCCACAGCAGGAGGGCCACATCCAGCCCGAGATCACTTGTGACCACGGCCGCGAAAATGTTAATTTCTTGTTAGTTAATGCAAGGTCAGTTACTAATGTTGACTGCGTAATTCAATAAAATTTATTCTTGAGCACATCATTTTGTAATGTGTCATTTCTGAATAAATAAATATTTTAATTATAAAGGAAATGGGCTATTAATTAAAAAATGTCGTGAGGAGAGGTGTATTGGCCCATCGGTCTAACCAGAAAACTATTCTTGGCTCAAGGGAAGAAAAAATGAAGACCACTCTGCTTTAAATACACGCGTAAATAAATCCAATGGCGAGCACATGTGAACACAATGACATACTTACCACTTTATGAAAAGGTGCTGAATATCAAAACCAACTGAACACATATTAGCCTTTCAACAGAGATACTGCTTCACGTACTCAGTTATTTTATTTCTGTAGGCTAAGCATTAGGCTTAGGCCTGAGGATTTTTTTCTTTTTATCAAATTACTGCATTTCAAGTTTAAACGAATTAAAATTCAGGACAGGATTGTGAAACGTGAACTTATATGATCCCTGTATGCATTCATAGCCTGATCTTAGGCACGGAGAGAAAATTTCTCATTACATTACTGTAATGCCACTTTTTGCAGTTATTCGATTCACTGAGTTGCAGACAAAAATACATTCTGATGGAAGTTTCAATGAAAACTTCAGTTGCTAGAGTCGAATGATGTTACTAAGGAGTTCTCAAGGGGGAAAAAACACGGCTATTTCATGCTGTCTTTTATACAAATATTGAGGAGGCACATGGTCCAGACGTTACCCTCATACCCGTTGTGCCAACACCCGGACGTTAATTAATTTGGTTACCGCAGTATGGGGCAACGGCGGGACAGTCGGTCGGCCCACATCTCTTGGGTCACGACCGAGAGGAATCCAGGTTGCCGTGCTTACTGGGGGGCGGAGCACTCGAACACTTGCGTCAGTCCTACAGAACAAGAGTTCACCTAAACAGCAAGTTGCTGTCGGAATCAAATTATACTCTTGCAAACCTGAACAACAAAATATCAAATGAAAAATACGAATTTTTGTTTGTTTGTGTCTTCTTCTACGCGGGTCTGAAAGGTGGAAGGGGAGAACAAGTTGTAGAGAGAAGAGTCCTTATTGGCAATTTCCACATCTGCTACCCCAAGACTCCTTCAGGTGCTTTTTTTTCTCCCCCCCCCCCCCCCCCCAATCTCCCGCGCCAGAGTATAGACCCTATCCGGACGAAATGCTTAACCTACAGCCTGCAGCACATAAATGTTAATGATTATTATCATCATCACTAACTCACAGTTCTTGAAGGATCTTCGCCTCCTCACACCTGGGAGGTTCTTAATGTGTTTAGACATTTGGTAGGACTCCTTGGGCGAGTGATCAGTCCGTCTCAAGGCCTCTACCTGTACAGAATAACACACCACCAAAAGACGCGGACAAACATTCATGCCTTGAGTGGGATTCGAACCCAATGTCCGAGTGATCAAGGCCCACGCCCCAGACCGAATGGCCACTGTGATCGGAAAATCTTAATAGTGCTGCATCAGCTAGATCGTCACACATTATTAAAAGTACCAAACTATGCGTGTTCTTCTATATAACTTCATACTCAGATGTGTTCGTATTTTTATAGCAGAGGGTTGTTTTATCTAAAACTTATAATTAATGTGAAACCTTTATCAATACTTTACATTTACGTCAATTCATTTTCCTAGCAACTAACATTAAAGTGGCTTACGATTGAAGTACGATAACATGAAAGCCCGCTATTTGAAATGTTCCTGAACCAGTACCACCCTCACGATCTGTCTTCTTAAGATCAATAGCAGCATCCTGCTTTTACCAATAGCTTCATGAAAATGTACTATTTTCTGTCAAATTTCGGATTCGACGCCAGTCGAGAAATTATTGGATAAAGAAGCTCATAACTGGAGATGCCACTAAAGAAGAACTGAAGAAGGCTCAGAAAATATAACAAGACAGAAATTTAAAGAAATAGCGTATCTGATACTGAGAGAGGTCACAGGTTATTTCTGTACAGGAAACTTCGCTAAACTTTACCTTGAAGTCCTTGCCTGTGATTTAAATAGTTAAACACGCAGAAAGTGTTGGAGGTTAAATTTACGTACTTCGCAAGATAAGTGTTTGTATCACTGTCAGCTTTTCTAGAACACCCCAGAAAAAAAACGTAAATGATGTAAAGCGAAAAACGTTCTCACTTTGCTTGAAACTCAACAACCAAAAGTCTTACCGCCGAACTGTGAATTCAGAAAGACGATATAGCTCAGCAATAGATTTGTGAGTTTTAATATCTGCCAGGTATGACTTAAAACGAAGAAGCACGACTCCTTGCGACACAATTATTTCGTCTTAATCAATGGCTGAGCAGGGACTCTGAGTGCCGAACTGTAGGTTTGACACAAGGGTGCTTACATGGGAACACGACACGTAGCAAAAACAACCTGGTATAAACGGAAACTGAGTCAAACACCGAGTCAGCGGATAACGGCATTCCGGGAGGGAAACAAGCTCTCAAGGTATTAATTACACTCCAGCGAAAATCCGGTTGTCGTCATAAACAGATCAAGTTACGACTTACCTGAAACAGCAGTACAAGGGAATTTACATTGCAGGATTTCACTGGCACAACACCAGCTCAAATCTATTGCACAGCTAAACCTCAGAAGTTAACATAAAGATAACACGTCTGACGTGCGATCGGAAGTAAAAAAATGAAATGGTTGTCTGAGTAAAAGCAAGAAAACAACCATGTTAGTTGGTAGTCCAATCGAGATTCGAACCGAGTCCACCCAGAATTTCAATTACAGCAGATGTTGTTAGTTCATACCACAGTTTCAAGTTCGTAGTTGGACAAAGGATCTCAAGGATTAGAGGAAACATGAAAAATAATAAAATACCCATGTTAATGATTGTTCCTTAAATTTGGTAACTGGGTCAACAAAATATCGGTTGCTCAAACAAATCCTGCTTTTGTGAGAAAGTCTAGGATTCCTTGATCGTATTTAGCCTATATTACCCAGAACAGCGCAGCTCGAGGAGAACGAAGTCACTTGTATAGTTCGCTTGTACAATGACGACTGCATTTCATTAGGCACAGAGTGCATGCTACATGCAGCTTAACAAAACTGAGACCTGTCTTGTTGAGTTCTGTTCCACTGTACCCGATGTAGCGAATCTCACGGAGAACAACAGCTGCAGAGAAAGAGGCCGGAAACAAATCAAACATGTGGAACGGAATGGACATAGAATTCTCCGTTCCTTCGGTTCCGACTTAATCGTCGTCATAGCCTAACGGTTGCCGTGAAAGAAACGAACTGACCATGCGGAATGTAGTTGCATGGGAAGATAAATACTAAGCTTCTTCATAGAAAGGTGCGTGACCAGTGACCTTGTTTACTTAATTCAAATAAATGCATGAGAAGAGGGACATCGCTTACACTGACACACAAATTACATGCTGAGCTATGCTGGACAGCGTATTATGTTGTTATAGGAACTGAATCAAGCAAGAGTGATTGACACCGTCACTCTTCTGGAAAAACTAAGAAAAATCACGAATCGTTTCAGAATATGAAGGCCCTGATGACGGAGGCAGTATGACCTCTGAAACGTTGGTAAACATCGACCAGACTACACAGCGCAACAACCCAGAAGACAGAAATGTTCATACTCATAGCTGTGAAAACCTCAAATCTTAAGCTTCAGAGTAGATTATCAAGGGATTATTGGAGTCACGCTTCACCGCGAAAGGCAGTGAATTATTGGCTCTGGTAATGAACCTTCACGTTCCATAAATGAAGGGAAATGTCTTGACTATCCGAGCCACTATTCGTTTCCCAAGGACTTCTATCAGTGGAGTTTGTTCATTAATTGAGACAAGGTGTTAATATAATTTTGCTTCTTGGGTATCAAATTGTAACACAAGAGTATAACTTATATAAGTCATTTTGAAAATGTATTGCCCTATTTCAATAAACTAATAATGGACCACAACCCATTGTAAGTGGTAAGCATACTTCACACGCTTACTGATAAAAATACGGGAATTTTACCGTCGTTCATAAATTCCGAAAAGTCCTCTTCGGGTGTTTAACAAAGTTCTTTCGCTTGCAGAACTTATCCAGCATCGAATTATAACTAGTTCAAATAACAGCGAATGCCGAACATAACTGCGATTTTGAAAGAGAGCATTCGCCTGAAAATAATGAGTAAAATCACGAAAATCTTTCGATTGCCTTTTAGCCCGCTGAGGTTAAATTCCTTTCTCAGCATAATAACCGAACTACGTTTATTTTAAAGGTCATTTATTCTAAGGCTTATTTCTGCCTAACTGTACGTCTCTGAATAGTGATACTCGTGTGAAGTTTGGTCAATGTCATGTCATGATCATACCAATATCAGCCCAAGGTTTTGCCTAATAGAGGGCTTAAAATTTGCAGACGATTGCAAGGTAATTTTTCAAGCAATTTTCTCTCATGCTTACTTCTGTCGAGCTGTAGGTTTCCAAATGCCCATTCTCATATCAAGATTGGGTCAGGCCTATGTCAAGGTCACAACAATACCTGTCGAAGGTTTAAGTTGGGTTGGGTTTGTTTACGTCAGGTTAGGTTGGGTTAGGTTAGGTTTGTTATGTTATGATGGGCTAGGTGAGGTTTTAGGTATCGCTATGTTAATGTTGTCTAATATGTGTTACTTACGTTAAATTCATGATGCGGGATGTGTACTTCTCCCCTACTTTCAGAATCTGTTAACTCACAACGCCACCGAGTTTTCTATATTCGTGATTGTGATATGGACAGCATTATGATTTACAATGGCTGCTCTTTTGGTTTCAGTCCCCGACAACCGGTGTTTCCTGCAGAACGGGGGTTCAGCGGAGAGTTTCTTTGTTAGCGAAGACCAGCCTGTAGGAGCTGAGATCGGTACGTTCAAACAACTTAGTACTAAACCTAAAATGATTTGATGACATTTTGTCATATTTGTGATAATAACTATATCTGTGAACTATGCGTGAAGATTGTAGAAATAAATGCAGCGAGGGAACTGGACTTGACATTAATGCGCACGTGAAATACATATATTAATGGAATTACTTCACGTCCCATATATAACTTACTTGTTACATTCGAACAATTGATTATCCAACCAACGGTCCTGGCTTGAAATCCAACTCGCATTCATAAGGAGTTGAAGAGAATCTACATTATATTCGGAATGAACGCACATCTGCGTCACTAACCACTGTGCCAAGCGACACGATGCTCAAAAGAAGCTACATGCATTTGCTGCGCGCCGTATGATGTGGCACCTAACACGAAGTTAGCGGTGGGTACAGAAACCCCCTGACACAAGTTACAGTTTCACTTTCCTGATTCGTTTCATTAATCAAGCTACTGCTTACGTATGCTTTCTCTACTTCCTTACAGAAAACTTATATTACTTACATGTCCCACGTATAGCTTACTATGCATGTTCATGTTAAAAATCAAAATACAGCATAGCATTGCTCTGTTCTTTATCTTTGGACCCTTTTGTGACATTTAAATTTGTGAAAATTATCACGACAGTTTTCCAATTAACCACCTCGTAATTACTGTGAATTTTGGAAGCAGATTTTTATAAATTGATTACCACGGGAGTTAGCTCCGGTTAGGTATTTTACGTATAGTTCAGAGATTCTGAGTTCGATACGTCTACGCATTGTATGTGGAAACCGTAACGTGAAGGGGTTAATTACACTGATTTTCCAACTACAGGACATTACCACAGAAAGCGGACGGTTTAAAAACTATCACTGAAAAGTCGATCTTACATTAATAATCTGATATGGCTAAAAGTCTGGTAAAAGTTTATTCACGTCCTGAAAATTTAAGATATTATACCGTGAGAATAAATCCCCATTTGCTAATGGACTTCGAAATTGATGACAAAAGAAAACGAAGCGATTTATAACCAAAATCTCCTGTTGATAAAGAAAGGAAGTGACATTTCTTAAATGAACTAACTCAGGTAAAACCAAACTGAAACAATTTTTTTTAAACTTCTGCATGTACCTTTATTTGTGTCAAAAAGAAGAGTCACTTTTTCATTACAAAACTATAGAAAAGTTTTTAGTGCTTCATAGTGGCTAATAAAGTACTTACAGTGAAACTACTTGGAAAACTGCTACAATAATTTTCTCACTTCCCATTGAAACAATGTGATGCAAAGATACAGAGCAGAATAAAACAATTTTATACCATACTTTGATTTTGAAGTCAGTGTATATAATAAGTTATATGTGGGACATTACACTAACATAATTCTTCTTGTGGTAAGTAGAAAATAATACACACATTAGCCTAAATAATAAAACGAATCTGAAAAGTAGTAAGCTGTAACCATTATTAAAGTAATTTCTCGTCGCAGGAAGCCTAAGTCAAGCTACATTCGAGGCAGAAATGCATCGTTTTGATAACACAGTTTCCAAAACTAAACTGCAGGACGTTGTGTCCGTGGTCAATTAAATGTTCCAAGGTTTAGTGTCACATGTCATTCCCCTAATGTAGTATGCTCATTTCCTCGAAAGGAAATACAAATCAGTATTTTCCCAAATTTGTATAAGTTATTTTAAATTTTGACTCAGGTACGTTACGAATCTACGGCGATCCCAGTGACCGCGGTGGCAACATCGTCCTTAGATTAAAAGAATTGGACAGTCCGGTGAGAATTGTTCCAGGAACGAAGAATCTGACACTCACACGACGTCTGGACAAAGAGGTATGTCTCAAGGGACTATAACATTACGGGAGAAATTAATTTACGAAGGTGGTTTCATATACCAAGATTCTGATGGTTGGTTCTTTAAATCCTTCAAACAAGCTGGCGTTTGTATTTCGCACGGTCTATTGTTCTTGTGGTAACATTCCAGTTTAAGAGGATTCTGTAGCTATGTGGGTTCAGGAAGAGTCCGCTTTGCAGTTACTGGGCTGCATCTATTCACATATACTGCACACACGAAAATGCTTCAGTTCTCTGTGTTATTCGTACTAGGAAAGAACAAAAAGTAAAATGTATGCACTCGAATATTAACCATAGTGAGCCAAGTCATCAAACGTCAACCGAATCATTATATGTGTTACTATTCGTAGAGAAACAGTATTTCCTGTTATTCGACACATAATGTCTGTTTCGGTAGCAACGTGTCTCGAAATTACAGGGAATACGACAGAGCTTCAAACAGCTGTGTATTCGGATTTCGTGTGGTTTATTCCGCTTGAAATGCAAGCACACGATGAAGAATAAGTTAATAAAACAGGTTCCTAGGAAGAGGATGGAATGAGAGTTACCACTGCCAAGTATGTAGCAGTCAGGGCCGTTCTTACTGTGGGCGAGCTCCGCGTTTCGACATTACGAGCATGAAATATGCACTTCTCTTACAGGGCGACATCGTAAACGCCGAAGGTGTAAAAATGTAACATAAGGCACATTAAAGTATGTTAATCTTGTTGTAATCCCAGAACAGGATGACGAATACACTCTTTAATAAAAATACAGCTTGGCGTAAGTGATAATAAACTTGCAGGTAACTGGCCTTGATTCGTGGCGTTCTTTCGCAAAGCAAGATTCCACTCAACCTTTCATTACAACAAAAATGTATTGTTTATAAGCTATCCTCTTAAACCAAAAGAAAGGCTCGTAACATAAAAATAATGATGAGCTTATGCAGATTCTTGCAAAAAAGGCACATCTCATTTCCAGCATAACCAGTTCTATGAAGCAGAATTTTTATCGAAAAGCTTTTCGTCGTAAAATTCATTAAGGCATTTTCCGTATGTAACCCAGATGTTCAAAATCATGCTTACCAGCACTCGCCACTGGCTCCTATCCTGAACCAACCGAATTAAGTCCTTACTCTCATACCATATTATGTTAATTTTCCATTCATCCACACTTAGGTCTCCCCAGTAAACTCTTTCTTCAAGTTTTACCATCAAATTGTAAACATTTGTATGCCCATTTGTGTCACACGTGTCCTCACCTCATACTTTTTGAGTGTGTCATTTTAATAATAGTTTATAAAATACTAAACTCCCCAATCGCAATTTTCCCACCAATCTGTTCAAGACGTCGGACACAGGATGTGAATAATAGAGGAGCCACTTCAGGCTCTTTTAAAAGTCTTCCTACGGGTGGTGGTGGTGATAGAGGTGGATACGTACAGGAAATGCTAGAGGTCAGATTGGAAGGGGTTATGTTGAACATTTCTTTGTTTCAATACAGAGCACGTCTTCTTTGTACAGGGTGTGGACGGTCCCTCTTCTGTGTACGTGAATGTGATCTGCGACAGGAAGAGGACTGCGGACCCGGTGAGAACACTTCTTCTCTCTGAACTGCCACATAATCTTTTCAACTAGAGCACGAAATATGTGTTTGCCGCTATGCCCGCAGTATTAAACCCTAGAATTACTTCCCATGAATCTCCTACCACGTGTTAACTGTGTCGGGACTTATCTTGTAGATTTATCTCAAGACTTTGAGTAACATCGGAGCACGATCTAAATATTTTACAAGCATAAGCAGTACATACTCAGTTATACAAGAGAAGAGATACAGTGCCTTTGTCTTACAGAACGTATGACCGTTGTAACACAGTTTCCCATCATTATATCGTTAAGTAGTCGTCCTGTGTCATCAACAGTTTAATCTTACTACAGGCACAATGGCTGTAATGTAATCCGGCGAAATGAAATTTTATTTGTGTCTTATTCCAAACTGATTTGCAATTTACAGGCCTAGTTCAAATGTTCGAAGATGACAAACGAGATTTAGGCCTAATTTTAAATTTTCACTGGATCATTTCGTTAACAATTCTAAAATAAAACAATTATCATCCTACGAATTACAAAACAACTTCGTCGCGAACACAACTATCAGTCCGTTCACCTTATTCCTCTCTCTTTGCTGAGAAGAAGATTTGCTCGAGTTTTTTCAGACATCTGGCTCAAGGTAGGAAAGATCCACACGTCACATCCTCCAAGATATCAAAAATACTGCCCAGTCGCAAAAAAAAGTGTCATTATTCATAGAATGATGCCAGTCTTCGGTAAAGCTGAGAAACTTGTGACAAAATCAATTATATTTTATGGGCGTTCTCCTATTTTATTTTTAAAAGCACATATTTGAAATCACGGGTAGTATAATCATAAATACTGTTTTAACGTAACATCATCGCACATTTCATTCATTCATAATTAAACTCGCCCATAGTTGAGCTGAACACCAAGTTGCTGGGTAATGCGTAGTCCTGACCGACTTACGAGATGTTTCTCTGTCACAGGGATTCGTGATTCCTGTGAACATTCGAGTAACGGATGCAAACGACAATGCGCCACAGTTCATAAACGCTCCGTATGTTCTCAACATCTCAGAGGTATGTATGGAAAACGTGCTTGTGTGCATGCTAGTATGTGAGCTTCGAGTTACCTAAGACTCTGCACATTGCGTCACACAGGGTCTCAGGTCTTAGGTATTAATAAAGTTATTAAACATGTAATGCCAGTTTTGATTTTCTGTCAGTTTCTTTTCATAATTGCAGTGAAAAATTAAAGCGAATAAAATGTAGTATTAATAATAGGTATGAGGTTTCTTTATACCAAAAAACTTTTTTCCACAGTTATTACTTTAGAAGCAATGCCGAATTTCTTATGAAAAGAAAGTCAAGACTTGCAAGAATTACAAATACTTTTCATTTTGAACACTTTCTATTCCTGCCTTGTGACTGCGCTTGGGTTTGTCCAAAATCACGCATCAAGTGTCAAGCTGAGACTGCTGATGACGTGACATAAAAAAGGAATATTTATTTTCTTTGTCTACAATATGTGAAGATAACCATGGATGAAGTGTGGTAATAGAATACTTTGTTTTTAGTATTAACGTGTAGAAAGTAATATGTTAACAAACAAATACACATTTCCCTTCTAAAACGTTCTATTATTTACCCCCGTGACACCTCACAATGATTGCTTAGAGAATTCTACTATTCGACGATACGCGGTAGATATAGATCGCTTTTCCCCTTACAAAATCTGGTTGTTACATAGTCTAAGGTACTGTCGGCATCGTTAAATAAACAAAAATGAAATAACGCTGTAGAAAGCTATTCTGAAACGACACTACTGTAAGAGATTATTTTATGTAAAAGATTAAAATGTGAATTTTTGGACGTTTCACGGTAGAAGGAATGACAAATTGAAGAGTTTCGCTGCATTCTTCTTTGCACAAAACTATTTGTATATGCCATTTTCAGGCGGTTAATTATTAAGTGTTGCACATCTGTTTCATTACAGGTGACGGTAGTGGGCACGCGGGTCCTCCAAGGTGTGCGGGCCGTCGACGCCGATCAGCAAGGACCTTATTCTACGGTTCAGTACTCTGTGTTACCAGGACCACATGCGGTGAGTTGGCTGCTTCGCTGAAGACACAGGAAGTACAGCTCAATTTATTACCTTCTAAGTGGATCATCGACACTTTCAGACTCGAATAAGCCATGGGAAAAGGGTGACCTCTGGAAATATGGCCTTTTTTAAGCATAGCAACCACCCCTGTGAATTTTAAATCGAGGTGTAAAGTAAGTACCATGGAACATGGAAAGAAGACGAAGTTGGTCTTCTGTGTTGTAACGCCGTGTGGGTGGATACTGACGTTTCGGGGAAACATTCTGTCTCCGTCCTCAGGACTAAAGTGGGATTGTTGGGAGGTGGACAGTTTGTGTGGGGTCAGAAATGCTAGGTTAGGGGCAACTGACCTTTCATAGTCGATTAATGAGGAAGATATGACCTGGATCAATAGGGAGACAGTATGCTCCTCCGAAACGCCGGTATCTGCCTTCAAGAACACAGGCGCCAGAACCTAGAAGAAGATCAACATTTTTACCGCTGTGAGAACCACAAATCTCATAGTCGATTGCGGACATTTCGACTTCATGACAAACTTAAAGAAAGCCAATCTCCATTACGATCATCAGGCTACTGCTGTTTAGGAATACGACAGATACGTATTATAAGAATCCTACAAAATAGGCCTACAACTATGGGAACGAAATCTATAAGCAAAATGCACAGTTATAAAGTTTTATGAAGTAGGTAGTGCATCGTCTCGTATAAGTTACCGCTGTGCTTTAAAGCGTTAAGAAACTAGATGTTTTTGTCATATTACGTCAATTGTTATGGACTGTTTAAGGTGGTCTAACATTGTATTTGAACATTTCTTTGCGAGCGTCACACTTGACATGTGTTCTGTGCAGGATTATTTCGTGTTCGTGAACGGTCTGGAAGGCACCTTGCTTCTCAGAAAGCCGCTCGATTATGAGACTCTGTCCAATTTCTCTATCGCCATCAGAGCACAGGTAAGAACGCTGTTTAAGGAAGCAATTCCCTAATCAACTTCCCCCTCTCCATTCCTTACCTCATCCTGTCTCCTAAATCCCTTGCCCTTACTAAACCTATCCATACCAGAAGGACGAGTGAGCACTTCCTGGGAACCTTCGTAGCCTCAAACCAATTTTCCCCCCCCCCCCAATTTATAACAGTAGTGCCTATCGCTACTCCCCCACTTTCTCTTTTCTCTCTCTCTCTCTCGGAAGCAATTCAATTGTACTGGCACTTAATTTGTGTTTCACTGATTACTGGTGTCATAAAACCGTATTTTATTCTGGAATTAACACAGTATTGTCGTCGTATAAAAACCTAAACGCTATAATCTTACCCGTTATTTTAGATGGACGCAAAATTAGGTCTTTCACCCCACAAGAAAGAAATCAGAGTGTGAGAACAGAGTACTGATGAAAATATCTGGAGCAATGATGAAGAACTTGATGAATTCGACTCTTTACCAAACATTACTAGCGTGATTAAATCAAAGAGAAAGAGATGGGAAGGACATGAAGCATGCTTGGGGGTAAAAAAGAAATGCATACTAAATCTTAGTCGCAGAATATAAGCGGAGTTTAATACTAGGGGAACGTGGGAGCAAATTGAAGGATAATATTAAAATAGATATTGGATAAACAGAGATGAGGCTGTGGGACCTATTCAACTGACTTAGGATAAGGCCCAGTGGCAAATTCATATGAACCTCCAGGTTTCATAAAGGAGTGAACGTTCTTGTCCAGCTGAGCGACATCGGTTGTTTAAAACGGACTCTGTTCAGTGTTTTCAGATCATTGTCGTGTCATTAAATAAAGTGGTGCAATTCGCAGGATCAAGGATCCCCGCCTCAGAGATCGGACACAGTTCTGTATGTTAATGTGATCGACGCCGACGATCAGAATCCGAGATTTTACGACGATCGATACACAGCAATCCTTCCCGACAACCCTTTGCAGGTAAGACGGAAAGAGAACAGTGGCTTCGACCCCTGTCTTCGTAAGGCAATAAATGAATGAACCCAGTATTTAAGAACCACTTTCTTTCTGGAACGTATTTGGCCATAGACCTATTGCAGTCGATAATTCTTTAGCGTAGCTACTTACTAACATACTAAGGCTATTTTTCTCGTCGCCGTTCGAATGACGTAATTTTTCTCGCCCGATCAGTTGTGTAAGTATGGATTTATAATCCAGAGTTTCAGAGACTGCCTCTACCTCCATCATCAGGGTAGATATAACGTGATTACTGTATCGTAGGCTATAAACATTTAACTAAATCTGAAATATACATACATAACAATACTGTAGTTCATTTCCTTAACAAATAAAATAGTATGAACATTAATTTGTATAATAATAAACCCTGACATAAATAAAAGGTAGACCTCATAGGTCTAACTTTTATTTATGTCAGGGTAATTCTACACTTATCAATCATTGAAGCAAAATTATGCAGTAGAAAGCCGGATAGCACTTCAAGTGTCTATAGCAATATTAGCGCCGTAGGGCTATTGTTTATTCCAGTTATAACCGCGAAGTGTTCCAGCGGTATTATCCTGAGGTTCTGATGTTCTAGGAGACACGCCTGCTGATACAGCCTCGAGAAATTGCGGCCTATGATCAGGACCTTGGGATCAATGCTGACATATATTACTCATTCAATTCGGGTGAGTTGATATTAAGGAAGCCACTAAAGCAGTCGCACGATATATCAATAAGCCTAACCCATGAAGACACCAAACACTTTACCGATATCATATCGATATATATATATATATATATACATTTTAAACACCGCCATTATTTCATCAAGACCCTCACTTCATGACTTCAGTTGCTACAAGAGGAGATTTCGTCATGGCACTTAACGTCAAAAGTTCATCACACGAGCCAGTTATCTCTTCTGGCCAGAAATTTCATATTAAACGTTCTCTTTATTCGCACGAACCTATTTTATAAATGAATTGTTCCTCGATTGGAAATATATTCTTTTGCAGTCCCCCAAAATCGAGTTTTTTTTTTAATTTCGTTTACAGAGGCTTTTCACTGAAATGTGAGTATTCTTAAAACACTGCAGTTTCTACTAATGTGTTAGTCCGTCAGTTCTTCTCTGTTGACAGATTTTGATTATTATAGAATCCAAATTTTGTGTAGTAATATCGAAATGAAGTGAATAGCAAAGTTCTCCTTTTAGAAGCATACGCTTCAATACGTAATTAAGCTAATAGGCCGGTATGTCCTTGTGATTTCCTGGAGTTCACAAAACAGTGTGCATGACTAACTGATACCGATTCCATTTCCTTGAAGCTTTGTTTCTTTACAGAAGGAACTGACTACAGATATTTCGATATAGACCGAAACTCCGGTCACGTGACCATTAAGAGATCCATTCCAGATGACGACCTCACACAGCCAGCAACACTTGTTGTCAGGGTAAGGAAGTAATGTATCAAGGAGAGATGTCATGTGCCAAAAGGGAAGCATTGATGGTAATATAGAGCATTTTGCTACGTTTAGTACCAAAACTGGTGGATGCCATGTTCGATATATCCTGCATTTTCGAGTTAATTTTTCCAGATGATTTTCAATTATATGATTGATTCGTTTAAGATAAAACATTTATTTAGGCTATTTACTGGCTCAGCTTTGCGTGAAATGTAGGACCTAGTTGCCTTACTTGCTGATTAATATTTACCGAACACACATACCGCTTTCCATTCTAAATATATTGATAAATACAAAGAATTTATTAAAATAAAAGTCCGGAATGGCGTGCTTCTATTAACTACATACCATGCAAAGCCACGGTTCAATGGCAGAACTCATTTGTGATTTTTTCAGTTCTTTATTTTCCCAAGTAAACAATTGTAAATGTCAGAACTGGAAACGTAAATACAAGGATCATGTACAGAAACAACAGACTACTCCTTCTGGGCGTGTTTCTTCTTAATTAGTTCAGTGTCGAAATGTGTGTTGATGTCAGAATATAACATGTGCGTTTGCAGAGGACATACGTGTTTCAGTTAAGAGATTCAAATGTCCTGTTATGGTCTACAATGTTTATAGAGTTGCCCTTTGACTGCACTGATGTAGAGATATTCCCTGTGTTTTAGGCTACACAGTACGACAACCAAGACAGATACGCTCTGGCCACACTGACAGTGAGTCGAGCAGGATCAGTTCCGAGAGAACTACAGTTCCTACAGAAGAACTATCTCATCAGTGTCCTGGAGAATGCTCCTGTGAACAGCATTCTACTCACCGTCGTCACTAACAAACCTCGGGACAAGGTGAAAGCATTCAAACAGCAGGATATAAACCAAACCGTCCTAAGTCATATTTAACAATTCTGTTCCTACTTGCAACTTCTTTAGACAGATTAATTAGTAAAACCTGTTTAGAAATATCACAGGCGTTTACCCTAAGATCCGCACTATGTAAAAATGTAGCAACATTTATGTGCAAGGTAAGATAGCATCAAATGTAACTGCATTTTTTGTTAAATAAATGTTTACCACAGGTTAAAGCGACCTCTAGTTTGCGATCACATTACCCATTTGTGGTGATGGGCTAAAGTGATGGACTCCAAGAGAAAAGTACGCAACAGTAAGCCAAAACTATCTGTGAACATAAAAGTGGTCAGTGCAGTTTTTTCAAAGACAAAATAATATAAAGAAGATCCAGAAATAACCTTTCAAACCTACTGCTTTCCATATTCAAATATATATGTATTAATAATAGAATGTAGCGATGTATTTCAAATTGACTGCTGCCTTAATCCTTTACAGAGACTGCGATTCTGGCTTAAAGACACTGTGCACCCGGGAATGTTCAGTGTGAACTCAGCTGGGGACATAATCCTCAGACAACAACTTGACTACGAGACGGAGGATTTCTACAGCTTTCTCGTGCACGTCACTGATGGTAGAACGGTTAGTCCATTTCCTTTTTCCACATACAGAACAATGTACTTTAGCTTCAGAGGACAACAAATAAATAGAATGCCAATGAAAATACTTGCGGGCAATTTCACAAATTCATACTCTTTTCCAAGAACCCTGGGTGAAGAGGTCCGGGACATGGGTACTGGTTGCTGGCTACTTCAACAAAATCCGCGTTTAGGAATGTGAGTTTACAGCACATTTACATTACGAGCCAAAATTAATTGACATGACAGTAGATACTGCCAGTATATAGTGCGGAACAGAGAGGAGGGGTAGCTCAAAATAGTGACTGGCTACAGGATGGATGACCGGGCTTCGTTTCCCGACCGCTTCTCCCCAGGTCCAGAATTGCTCTGAGCCGCATTCAGCTTCCTATCCAATGTGAAATCAGTGACTATTTCCCCGGAGATTAGGCCGTCGGAACGCGAATTACGCCACTCGACTAGTCTAATATCGAAGTTAAGAAAACTCTCCACACGGTTTCATGGCTTAATGAGAAGTATATGAATAAATTTACCTATTCTTTATATTACAGAACGATACGGCGAAGGTAAATATCTCTGTACTGAATGTCAATGACTGGGATCCAAGGTTTCGCTACCCGCAGTATGAGTTTTTCGTGTCGAACCCTGGAGTGTCTGCTGGTGACGTTGTTGGACGAGTTGAGGCAGCAGATGGTGACAGAGGTGACTTTATCACTCTGTCACTCCGAGGACCTGGAGCTAGGTACGAATAACGTATGGTAACACACAAGAGATCTGAGCAGGATAATGGCCCAGAGTAACTCATTCATACTTTGTTCTGTTTAGTGCCATACACTTTACCCAATAGCTACTATAGGGTTCCAATATTGATCAATGTAGTGTCATAATGGTATATAAAAGTTTGAAGTTCGTGGAACGACACAGTTCTTGCCAAAATACTGCTCCTTTTTTCCTCAGTCAGTTCAAGTCAGATGTGAAGTCGGAAATAAGAAATTAAATCGATGCACGCCTCAGGCAAACAGTGATACTTGAATGTAGGTCACTGGCGAATTTAAGACTGACAGGGAAGTATTTTAAACACTCGAAAAAGATGTCTTAGCGACCATTTCTCGGACCGGCGGCTGTGAATTGCATGTTTAACAAGTTTTTATCATGGAAAGTTACATCAAAGTGACCTATACAGACTGCTGGTATCTGCCTTATTTTTACGCCTAGGAATGTGAACACAAGAGTCATTACCATGTTCACACGACCCCACTACTATACCCTATTTTGTGCCAGACTAATTTATTTCATACTCCTACAACCTATTTAAGACCCATTGTAATATTATCCTCTTTAGTTTTCTTGTTCTTGTTTTTATATAACTGTTTAACAACTTGTAAGAAATTGAATTTATGTGCTCTGATGCCTTGCATGTAAGTACATGTACCTTGGCCTAATTAACACAACTGTATTTCAGGATGTTCGACATCACTGATACGGGAGACATCATTCTGGTGGACATGACACTGCTCAATGGCAGCACAGTGCATATGGTAGCAGTTGCCACTGACACTGGCATCCCTCCAAGACAGGTGCGGATTTTTTTCTAATCAAGATATATCAAAACAAAGTCTTACAGGACACAGCTCTGTGTGGGTTTGTCTACTGAAATGTAACGGCACATTACTGCTGCATACGTGACGCGGAGCTAGACGTAGGTTTCGCAGCGTCGTGGCTTCCCTAGACTTAGGTACGATTCATACGAAATTTTGTGTTAGCGTCGCGACGCTCAGTGTCGGTTTGTCGGCATCGTGTCGTATGGCGCTTTGACGCTAGTCTGGCTTCATTTCGAATCTGAAGTCGGCCGTCATGTCAATAGGTGTTGTGACGCCCAGCGATTACGTCGTGTCGTATTGCATCCCGAGGCCTGTCTACTAAAATGGTATCTTGCGTCGGCGTCGGGCTGCTAGCGTCATGTCATGTGACGTCCTGAGATTCATCTACGCTACAGATTAAATCTTTTGGGGTTGGAACGATTAGCATCGGTTTGCCAGCGTCGTTTCTTGTGGAATTCCTATACTCGTATGCGCTATGGATGGTATTTTGTATCGGCGGGTCTTACTGTGTTTACAAAAGTCACGTCATGCCGAGGGTCGCGTATCGTTGAATATCTTAGAAACACTGTCCCTAAACCCAAAATCTTCAAGTGAGAACCGAGGTTTTCTCAAGAATCGTAACACTGACACTAGGGAAATCTAAGATTTTATTATTAATCACTGCTCATAGCTTGTTATGAGACGTCTAACATCAGGATTCATTTACTCGTGACCTAATCTTGAATAGATCTCACACCCAAGCAGTTTCTCACTATTTTTAGAACTCATGGGCTTGAAGATATCTATACCTACTGAATGACGTCGGAGCATTTCGGTGGCCTTCCCAGTTTCCAAATTACGCATCTTAGAAATGTAGGTAAATTCCTATGCTACGTCAAACAGCAGCGGTTCGAGTCTAGTATGTGAGCTGTGTTTTATTTTAGTTAATCGTATTTTGAAAATTCGCCTGTTCCGACTACCCGAAGAAGTACCTAGTCAGTCCTTAACGATCTTAATCCAAAACGAGAACAAAGTACCGACACTTTAGTGCCGATGCATGAATAGAAACTAACTTTGGTTTGAAGGTGTTTTGACTTCATGTTAGCTGAATATGTGAGGCCTCACGATCCAGCATCATATCGCAGGTAGCCATGTTGTCGTTTGTGTGCAGGCAACAGTGCCCGTGATAGTCCACTTCCCAGAGAGTGTGGTGCAGACAGCGGGTACCACTAGCTTCTTGCTCATGGCAGTGTTCGGATCCCTGCTCGGCCTCCTGGGACTCATTATCATCTTGCTAATCTTCTACATCTACAAGCAGTAAGTCACCCTACCCGGCTAACCTGTCTCAGGTTGCTGCACTCTTCCGAACGTCTTCGAATAATATAAATAAACATTTATCCTCCAGCCCTTTCCAGTTCACAGCACATATCATCCCCGAATCTCAGTTTAAGTTAAATTGTTCTGCAGCCGATCGTTAAATAAACCACGAACCAATCAAATCCCTCTCTCTCTGTTCTACTTCTCTGATAAAAAAATAAATCGCGGAATTAATATCTACAAATACTGTAACTTATTATGATAAATATATTTATTTTGGTAAGTCCCATATACCTGTTTATAATTAGTGTCATAAAATGTCATAAAACAGATCACAGAAGTTTTGTAAACTTATCTTTAATCGTGCTTTTAATGTGCCCGAATTACCCCTTCAGTATTGTCTTCAAGAAGGCGGGTTTTCTTCATTCGTCCAGTTATTCAAGCTGTGTTTATACCAAAGGTAGACGATTTGAAAACGTTCCAGAAACCCAGTAACTGTACAATTACAATGTCTACTGCCTGTTGCTATTTTGATTCAATACTACTTCTAACTTTAATGGCTAGCAAATAAACGTGATTTCTTTGTGACTAATAAATAGACCTCTTTTCTTGTGACCACTGGATCTAATTTATTTTGGCTAGTAAATAAATCTCGTTTCTGTGCATTCTAATAAGACGTGGTAGTCAGTTTTAATGAAGAATAATGTTTCGTCCTTACAGCAAGAGATCGAAGTCCGGAAATCGTGCTGGAACAAAAGGCTACATGAATAATCCAATACAACGCGAGAAACTGACCTCCGGAGGAGCAGACAAGGTAGATAACCCGATGTTCCACAACCAGCAGGACGGTGGGTCATATCAGACGGCCACAGTGAAAAGTGAGTAGGGACGGATGATGTTCTGCTGTACATTATACCACTAGCATAAAACTAGAATGTCTAGGCCCTATGTATATACATGCTGTCAAAAACTGTAGCCAATATCGTTCAAAGTACAACGTAGCGAATTTCAGAATGTCCTATGTGCGGGACGCCTTTCATAAATTAACTTATCTAAACACACAAAAGTATCGTGGTGGTATCCGAAGATCAGATTGTTTCAAAGAATTCGTCCAAGTCAAAGGCTTGGAGTAAACATTTCGTAACATGCTGGTTATTACTGTGGGGAGTTGTAAGCCCCGGCCCAAACCCCTAAGCTGGAGGACCACCTCTTGTCGGCTGTGTGAGACTCCCACCTGCATCCTGAAGATGCGCCATGTTGTGGTGACGGGCTCACTAAACATGGCATCGGATGAAACTAAATAAAAAAGCAGAGAAAGGCGAAATAATATGTCACATATCCAATTAGCTTTAAATGCTTGTTATTGCCAGTCAAGGTACCACTGTGGTCTAGTGGTTAGAACGCTGGCCTTATAATCCTGGGGTCTCGGGTTCGATTCCCGGCGGTGCCCGAATTTATAACTTGTGTTGGGCAAGGCCGTGGTCTAGGCAACACGGAGTTTTCCTCCGGGGGCTTCCCCGGTTTCTCCGTGGCATCGCAACAATTACTCCATTCACACACAGAAGAAGGCAATGGCAAACCACTTCTGGATCATCTGCCAAGAACGTATATAAACAGGTCCCAGTCCGAGAAAAGGATGGAAGGATCCTGTTCATATGGACCTGTCGTCAGACAGAACACTAAATAAATAAAATAACTGCCAGTCACTGAAAATGCCATGAATATAGTTTTTACACTTTCGTGACCTGTGGTCTATGGGTGGATGCGACGCATCTCATACAAATGTGTGCAGGTATAATGGCGAGGAACACTTCTTCGAGGGAAAGCGTCCGAGGAAAGTGCTCGAATCCTCTGGCCCAGGGACTGAGCTCTGGCAAACACAAAGTGGCTCCAGCGCCACCTCAACTGCCGGATGACGCCAGGACGCCGACACCGACGATCGACAACAACAACCAACTAAAGAATGGAATCAACTGGCCAAGTGGCTCGATTCCCCGGCGAGTCAAGAAACTCAGCTGGGACGACGAATCAAGTCAGCAGAGGAAGGTTAGTGTCTGCTAAACACATTGCTTCACTAACTTTAGCCATTCAATACGCGCTTTGTAACAAAAGGTAACTCAGCCTCAATGGTAAAATTAAGAAACAGACTAGTAATACCCGTTGATATCCAACGGTTCCAGTTAAAATAAAACCTTCATAACGTAAGAAGTATAATTTTCTTTCTGTAACATATGATTTTTTTTAGAAACCCCTGTGTCCACTACTTCGAAGACCTAAGCTGAGGCGACAGGATAATATTAAAATGAATCTTATAGAAAAGGGTGTGAAGACGGACTTGAGTCACGTGGCTCAAGTTAGGGTCCAGTGGCAGGCTCTTATGAACACGGCAATGTCTTGACTCGCTAATTAACTATCAGCTTGTCAAGAAGGATTCAGTTAAATGGACAACCAAACTGCTGTAAAACACACAATCATTCACTATTACGTGAACCTAAATGTGTTTTTCGGGTTGGCAAGTAAATGCACATTTAAATTAGATGAGGCTAAGGATTATCTTATCGCCTGTTCACTTAAATGTTTTGTTTGCAGCTTGAAATGGATCCGGAGGTGAGCGTTACGCCGCTGGCAGTACAAGAGGAACAGTCCTCGGACCAAATGAACCTCACTGTTTATTTCTAACGTCAACTATGACAATAACGCAGCTTCGTCCAAAGATAAACCAATAATCAATTTCTTTTTTCGTAAATAATCGAGTGATAATAGAAGAAAATTCAGAGACATGAGTTCATGTTTGAAAGTGCAGAGTTTCTGAAACAAAAGTGATAGCAATAAATAGAATAAAACGAACTAATGGCATTGTCCACGTCTGCATATGAGCAGCTACCCCTTTGTTCGAATTGTGGTGTGACAATACTCTTAGCGTATTTATGTGAAGTGCTCATATACGAGAGGTGATTTTAATATACTGCTTTGTAACTCACAGCACAGACAATAATTATTCCTGTACATCAATAGAAGTGCCTTGCCGTCTGCTTTACAACGATGTCGTATCCCGAGTGGTGTGTGTGTGTAAACTGCGTCAATTGAAGATCTCAAGTAGCATAGAACCATAATTACAGCTCTGAACCAGTTATGCATATTTTATTACAATTTATTAATCACATTTAATGGCGTTACTAAACACGTCAGAGTGGACTGCTGTACATTTAAAACAGATTTTCGTTACGAAAAGGTATAATTTGTACCTACATAAAGTGTTTTAAATAAATAGACTCTAAACGTTTATTTTTCAAGATTAAAATGGAGTGATTTCCTTAGTAAGTACTGGAAAAGTCTTAGCCAATGCCACCAAGCCCTGCGCGGTCACTGGACTCGCCCAACCATTTTCTCTCAGAAAATCGCTGCCTGTATCGCAACGTATAAATGCCCGTGCATTTTAATTGGTATAGAAAAAATCGGTCGTGGCCTAATTTAAGGTACTATCCTCGCATTTCCCAGACATTACTTAACTAGCCGGTAGAAACCTAAATAAACCGATTTCAGATAAGTCGCACACAAACAATAATTTAATGGAATGCAAACACATTAATCCGTACACGTGTATCTTTTTTAGTTGTACCATACACAGTAATTACATTACGTGGAATATGGCGTTTTCTCAGCAAGAATGACGATGAATTCTGGGACGTTGCACCCTGCAATCTGGTGGATACTGATCGAAGTTTCAGAGGAAATACTGCCCTCATCATCAAGACGATGGGTCAGTTTCTACCAGAATACACAGTGCAACATCCAGAAACTACGTAGGACTAGAGATCCTAGCCTACAGACAAACAAGAAATGCAGTGATAACTTTTGTACTCACCCACAGTTGTCACTGCTGCATGGAAAGCATCGAATGTGGTTCTATTCTGCCTAAATCTGGTACACCCTCACATAACACAACACAACAGCACTTCATAAACACGCATCATGTTCAGAGTTACGTAATTTCGTTGGACTTCGATATTTTAAAAGCATAACCAAATAACCAGTCACTGATGTTGCGTTCTAACAATAATAATACCAGCAGCTTTAACATTGACGAGGTTATGTTACCATGTAGGTAATAGTCCAACCCTCCTTTCGTACCAAAGCACACACCTGCATGCTTCGCTCTGTACTTCACTAATCAAACGTCACTAAAACAAATGAAGCACAATACAGCGTTCAGCGATAACATGCTATGGGTGCGTTCACTGAAACATAGCAAGCCAAATGGGAACAATTACAGACGCACACAAAACAGTGTGTTTCATTGAGTACGAAATTAATAAATATTTATACATCGGCCTACAATTGTTATTGTTATAAAGAAGCACGCAACACATTTCTATGCTTAGGCATAAAGAATATACGTGTATCGGACTAGCTTCGTAATACATATCGAGTAATTTGTAAGGCCATTAATTGCATGTTAACCCTGTTTACAAAATAAAAATATTCTTGTATGACGATACATGGAATATATGCAACTCCGACTGGTGTTTCTAAAAAAAGTAGCCAATTTTTAACACCCTCAGTGGGAAGGTCATTATAATGTAGTAGATCTCAAATTGCCTACTTCGGTGATTATTAAATGTCGATTTTACATTAGGCACTAAACGCACGATCCTGAAAAGTATATTATTAATTACATATGAGGCTTGTGGTTTTTACTGTGGTGAAGATGTGGAGTGCGATATTTTGGGTCATGGCCCCGTGTCGTTCTGCACAAGGTTATTCGTGTAGATTACATACTTCTGACACGTTGGTAACCACGTATAAGACAGCATCGCCAAATCATTATGTACATTAACTTGGATCTTTTCTTGCAACAATTACACATGCATTATAATAAGGGTAGTAATTTCACGGGCGTATAATACATTTTTGGAAATTTATATTTTAATTAATAAATTAGCAGAAGAGTGGAAGGGGGAAGAGGACCACTTCTAATTCAAAATCAGGAAATACCCTAATCGAGTCTCGGCCAGGGAACCGGCTAACCTCAATCCCTTATTGTATTCCTGCGAAAACATCTTTAAAAAAGCCACGACCAGTTACTGTCTGGTCAATTCCAGTTCACAATAATCATAACAAATAACATTGCGACTGAAACAGCGTCGTCTCAAACCCACGTACCAGTCATCAGTTACGTGACTTGAAATGCTGTTTACTTTCTACATTGTGCAAAATGTAGTACCGTGTATTGTACCCATCTTTCTTCAAGATCGAGTTAGTACCAACAGACCCAAATAATGACAGATTCAAATTCTACGGTAATGGCGGCTAATGAAGCCATTAATTCCAGTGACGTATCCTTACTGGTATCTGGCGCGATGCGATGCCTTTCACTTATCACCCTCCGTCTTAGCCAATGAACTATAAGGTTCAGTGGGTCAGCAGGTCGAAGCTCCCGGCCGTATAACCAGGATGTAAGGTACATGTCTACAGCGCAGCAAGATGGCGAATGAAGAGAAAAGGTGGGATAGGAGAGACAAATAGGTTCGCAGAATCAACTTCATGGCCACTGGAGTCTTTGACAGCTTAGTTACCAGCGCTTGAAGGTGGTGTTGGAGCACGATTTACCGGCACGGTGAGTTGGTTTCATACATCTGTTTGGCAAATCGCCTATAAAATGTCATTCGGTGTGTCTTCAGTAGTGGCAGTGCTGCTCTCCGGCTTTTAGCGTCAACATCTTAAATGGTAACGCAACACGTTCCAAAGAGCCTTTATCACGTGTTAACAAATGCTGGTCGACCTAAAGTAAACAAAAATAGATACGACCACTTTCCTTAACGTTCTCCCGAAGTCACCATTGAAGAAATACAGTACACATGCGAACACCTACACGGTTATCCAGCCTGTCGTAAAACAGGAAGAAAACTACTTTTGTCCCCGTAAACAAAATATGTCACCTGCTCTTGTAGTCACCATGATAATAATTATATTTCTTTGCTCTAGTCAGGAACTATAAAAACTGCAAGTCAACAAATTACATTTGATTAGACCAGAACTGTCGACAAACATGAAGAAACTGCTGCCACTACAAACAACACTGACATTCATTTGCATCTTATCTCTACGTGCGTATGGAAATGGTATGTATCCATAGCAATGATAGACTTGTAATGATTATCCACGTTGTTTGCTACTCAATTCACCTACAACAGATGTAATATATTCAAGGAGAAAGTCTAAACTTCATAACGGAACAATGTCACTTGGTCATGCAAGTTACAGATGAAAGTGGGAAATTCCTTGGTGATGTCAGCATTTTCATTTTTCCCCCTTTTACTTGGGAGACGTTTAATTAAAAATAGTAATGGTGATGTTTTAAAACATTTCCATTTTCCTTCAACCAGTAACCCAGGTGTCAAATTCCACAATTCCAACAACTACTGCCACATCATCAGGAACTGCTGATGATATTAACGAAGATGAACCATCTGATGCTAGGTCATTTATGACGGATGGTATCTGGTCACCATTACTGGAGGACTTGGCAGTTTCCGTAATTTCCCGCGACCAGAAAGTAATGAAGAACAAACCTTATTTCATCACACGACCTGAGGACACGCCAGCCGTAGGGGGAAAGAAGGAGGTCACAGAGACAGACCTATACCTCCTAGGGGCAATTGAGAAGTTGGTTTACCGAGTAGACTTCATGGAGAAGCGACTGAGGAGGACAGAAGAGTTGCTCTATCACGTCATGGCAAACAGTAATAAAAACAATGGTAAGTGAAACGGCCCACCACACATCATTATCTCCTAGACCAGTGATATTCAACCGGGGGTACGCGAAGACATCTTTCGGGGTACGTGAAATTTAAAAAAAAAAATTATGATAAACACTGAATAATCAGTAAAGTAATTTATTTTAGATATAGATTATATACTATGTATAATTTGAATTAAACACCAACAACTTTGGGGGTACAAAGTTGAAGAGAAATTATATCTGGGGGTACGCGAACAAAAGAGGTTGGATACCACTGTCCTAGACCTTTGAATTTCCACGTAGTTTCTCTCAGTAAAGATAAGTCATAAAACAACACCAACACTACAATTAACACTTCCAATTAACAAAATATTTGTTTGCATTTTGACCCACAGAACCCTGCCCTACAAATTTCTCCAGGGTCGGCACTTACTGTTACCACTTCAGTGAGAGAGAGCTGAACTGGAAGTCATCAGCCTCTATGTGTAGGGCACTGGGTTCAAGGCTTGCAGAGTTAGAAACTGTTGAAGAAAATCAAGATGTCGTAGCTCACATGCAAGCCACTTCAACACTTCGAGGTACTTGTAATAAAACTACCACAGCTTGGACAACTTCGGCCCAGCTGCACTCGATCACAAAAGCATATGCTTACTTGTTCTTCTTCAGGCACTATCTTGTCTTCATAATTCCACCCAGTGACCTTGTCACCATTAAATTGACTATAATGATACAGTTTTTGTTTTATTTTGAAAAGCAAAGAAAAAGAAATGACAGTCATGCAATAAAAAGTAAGTGCAGAATTTCAACACATGTTTGAGTTTTTGTGATGTATCATGAGGGCAATATCAACAAAAGAAGACACAAGACTTCTGAACTTGGTGATATATACCCAGAAACGTATTTAGGACCCTAGTCAGTGTACTCCAAAGATATCCAAACGGCTTACAAAATTTTAGCATAGATCTTTCATGATGTGAAAAAAAAAAGCTTTACAACAGTGCAGAGAATGTTATATTCTCCCTTGTCATTTTCATTTACTAGAAATCCATAATATGTAAAAGAATTTATATAACATTTGAAACCTCACACTTGAACTCAACATTTACAGGCAAAGATTTCTGGACAGGCGGGCTGAATCCTGGATTACTCTGGATCTGGTCAAACAGCGCTCGTCCCGTGGCTTCCAACTACACGGAAAATCCGTCAAATAACAACAACATTAAAGGAAATGGCCGATGCTTAAAGCTTGCATATAATCCTACGCTCAGGGGATATGAATACCAGGGATCGGAATGTTCTGTTCGAGCCAGTTATGTTTGCGAGCACGAGGAGAATTCAACGAGCAGAGCACTTGAAAGAATTCAAAAATCTTTACAAGAAAAAAAAATTCTGCAGTGAAAGGGAAGAGAATGTAAGTAAGATTTGAGGTTTTCACAGTGGTGAGTATGAAGATTTCTGTCTTCTGGGTTGTTGCGATTCATCGCCCTGATGACGGAGGCAGTATGACCTCTGAAACATTGGTTAACATCGACCAGACTACACAGCGCAACAACCCAGAAGACAGAAATCTTCAAGAGAATAAAAAGTCCTGAATTTTTTGGGAAATGCTGCTAATCTGTAAACGAGGCAAATGAAGCACATTTCACAAAACCAAATGGTGAAATATACTCGTATAAAAACCGTACGTCAAACACCAAAGACAGTAGCAAAGAACTGTAGGTATGCAAAACGTGGTAACTTTTCAAATAAAGATATTCAGTGAAACTGATTATACAACCTAACATCAATTAGTGCAATTATAAACTAATTAGCAACTTAAAAAACATTTATACCTCAAGTCTTACATTTATATCTTTTATTAAAACTGGGATACTGGGAACGACCCGTTCTTCAAGTGCCTGAGCACTGCGAGTCCCAGCATTTCGTTGGCTTGATCTATGGACATTCGGTAGGACTCCTTGGACGAGGGATCGGCCCGTCGCAAGGCCTCTACCTGTACACGGGACAGCACAACAGAGAAAAACGCGTACAAACATCCATCGCTTGAGTGGGATTCGAACCCACGGTCCCAGCGACCGAGTGGCACTAGACCCACGCCTCAGACTGCGCGGCCACCGTGGACCCCTTTATTAAAACAGTGAAAATAAAGCATGTGCTAAATGTACAATAAATCCCAAAGTTTTGTGTAGTTACCGTATGTTTGCCACTTTGTCCAGTAACCAAACTTTGTACGGACATTACGATGGGAAATGGATTGACCGTGATGGCCCAATCCTGTGGCTGCCAAGACCACATAACTCCTTCAGATAACACGACTGGACACAAAGTAATATAAATAAATTTGAAGATGTATTCTTGCATGCGGCATGTATTTCACATTCTTTCTTCAGTAAAAAAAAGAGCTGTACATTTTTTATGCAACATTGTAAGTTTGTGATGATTCCGTATCTTTGATTTTTACATTGTTAGATTTTTATCATAACTTATACCGATTTCTGAGGGGGAAAAACTGAATTTCATAAATTATAAAATCACATTAATACAAATTTTTACCACTGAGATATGTAAGAGCATTATCACCCTATTCAAATGTCCAGAAGCCACAAGCGCCCAAAAACTCGTAATTAACATCATTACTGTGTTTAGTTAAAATTATGAATATGGCTGTTTCTTTTAATGATCTTTAGATGGTGGAACCTAATGTAAGATTCAGTTGACAATAAAATTTCAATTACAAAATTTCTTCTTCATAATAATACTTGTACAGTCTGAAAGTTCAGTTGTAAATGTAGCAAACAAGCTACTACAGTAAAGCCAACAAAACAATTTAATTTCAGTAAAAATTATAATATCGGCCAACATCGTTATTTTGAGGTACAAGCAACAGACATTTAAAAACTTAAATCCATCTACACTTCTAATCCTAGATGAGAAGAAAAGATACACAAACAGCAGACGGTACACTAATTTCCATCTCCTGATCAGACGTAACGTGAAAGTGCTTACTTCATCCTTCCAAAATTACTATTAGCTCAGTTAAGAGCAGCAATTCTTCGCACAGTGAGGAGATCACGGAGCAGCATCTGAATCGTCTGTTTGGTCTGCGGATAGAAGTCGGGTGCTTCATCTTTTGCGGCGTCTGGGTCTTGAGATTCAAGAGCTGTAAATAATAAACAATGCAATCTGCCTCCTTTCTAGCAATATATACCTTAAGTTTAACAGATACAAATCTTAGTGTCGTATCTCGGCATACGGACAATGAAATACTGCTTCGACTCTTTCATTGCCGAGCTCAAAATAATGCAATGAGTGTTTGCAGCCAATTTCAGTGAAACTCAAATTTTTGCAGCACTATGGACCTGGAAGGGTAGAACATGTGTTGACAATATGCAGAACTAAATATAATTTTCCCTGTTGGGTATCATAATATACAGCATGTTTCAAAAGTAACTTTATAACTTGAGAGCGAGATTTTGGTGAAATGATAGGAGAAACATATAATTTCAGAACATAGAAATGTAGTCAAACACTTCAAGTTTTATGTCCGTCGGATTTTTATGGTTCGATGTGACTTTCATTTGTTATGCAGCAGACGTCCCATCTGTAGTCCATATCTTGCCACACACGGTGTAGCATCACCGGTGTCACTTCAGCAACTGCAGCGGTAATTCAATTTCGGAGTTCGGCCACATTTGCAGGTAAGGGTGGCATGTACACTCAATCTTTAACAAATCCCCACATGGAAAAATCTAAAGGGGTTAGATCCAGGGAGCGAGGTGGCCGTGCTATTGGTGCAGCCCGACCGATCCACCAAACTGGGAAACGGTCGTTGAGGTACTCGCACACTTCTCAAAGGTAATGAGGGGGTCCACTGTCTTGCTGGAGGTGAATGAGTCCTTCATGGTCATCTTCGTCAAGTTGAGGAATGAGGAATTGTTGGAGCATGTCCAGATACACAATGCCGCTAATGGTCTTCTCCATGAAATGTAGGGGCCGGAAGCGCTGGCAGTGGCGGTTTTCGGTACTACAGTTTATGTGCATGAAACTTGATGTGTTTGGCTAAATTTGCATTTAAAAATATTGGGCACATTCTTTATATAAATTTATATTCTCCTGCGAAGTTGTAAAGCTACTTTTGAAACACGGTGTATAGCTTTGTATTTACAGTTCTACCAACTTGTAGGCAGCAGTGTTAGGTCATAAATAGACAGTAGATGACATGACTATAGAAAATATCCTAAATATTGTAAAGAATAAAAAATAATTTCCAATTTATTACGAAAGCCAAGACATTTTATACCAATAGAAATTATGCAGCACTAATTCGTTTCACAATTAACATCTCAAATTGGCAAATAATTATGACAAGAAAGGGCAAAACAATTGCTTTCCTTAGTATGCTATAGAAACCAAACCTGGAAGAATAAACTGTTTAGGAAAAACTTGTCTGTAAATGAGATAATACAATGGTAATCTCTCATACAGAATTTTCAGGTTAAGAGACTACAACACAAACCTGCTACTTGTTCCTCGAGCATCGTCAATCTTGTATCAATTTGTGTCTGGAAATGATCGATGTGATCAAGAAGACAAAGCCGACATTCAACCGGGTCGATGGGCGCTTCAGGTTGAGGTGACCTTGGAGGTTCAGATACAGGAGGACGAGATGGTTCTACAACAGCAAAAATATGTTCCGTTACATGGCAATTTACTAACCACAGACATGAAAACAACAACAAAAAACAATGCTGTATGGCACCACATATGATTTTCAAATATCCTGTGAAAGAAGCAAGATATAAGCTTGAATTGTACACAGAAGTTGCAAAAGAGCAAACATGGCAATGTTTTGTATTAATATGAGAACATCTATATTATCCTTTACAAATGAATATAAAATATATCTCCATACCAATGTAAAGGGAGTGTTTGTTTAATTTATCACTTACAGTAAGATCATTCTTCACAGAGAATAATTCAGTGCAAACTCTAAGATTTGATATTGTCCCAAAACACAACATAAACTTTGGTGGTCACTTGTCAGTCAGTCGCCCACCGTCATCAACCGTGCCACGAAACTAACGGTGGTCATTTCAACACCTGCCCTAGATTCACTAATTTACCAAGTGCCGATACTGACTTATGTAATGGTTCAGTTTACTAAAATGTCTTTATTTCATTCACTTAATTCACTCAATGTGTGTATACCTCTTTGGGACACCTGTATTAAACCTACCTGTTTCTCTCAGATTATCTGCCATAGTGTTGGCAAACTGCATGAGCTCTGATTGGCAGATCGGTAGCTGCAACATGGGATGACCAGATGTTTCCATCTGACTTCCTACACCACCATTACTTAGCGGGTTTGCTGTCTGACTTCCGTTTGTCAGGGCTTGATGCAACAAACCATGACTCTCCGGCTGAGGAATGGTTTCATCAGGTTTCTCTTCACTACTGGACTTCAATGCTCCTTCATCTGGGCTCGAATCAGGTCGCTTACTGACATCTTCTGACAAATTACACATGTCAGTTACTTTTAGTTTTGTAACACAATTTTCTTTCTTTTCAAACTGCACTTCCAGGTTTTTAACGATTGTATCGGAAGTTTCTTCTTTTTCTTGTACTTGTTCTACAGTAGAATGTGCTTCTGATTGTGGTGAATCTGCTTTGCCTGCTACACCTTCTTCAGTCTTCAAGTGCATTTCACCTGTTTTTGTTTCAGTATGTTCATTTAGAGGTAAAGAAGTAGTATCAGAATTACTCTGACCAGTGGTGGATGAAAAATGTTCATTGCTTAATGAAGAACCTACACTAGAAGAAAACATGATTTTATTATCATCTTTCTCTGCAGTAAATGCTTCAGTCTTTGTTCCATTATCTTCTTTCATTGTTTTACTCTGTAATTTGTTCTCATCTTTCACAACATCGACTGAAGAAACAACTTCAGAAGTTTCTGTTTCAACATCTACAATTTCTTCCTGAACCTGCTGTTCTATATTCACTGGATTTTCTTCTGTTACTGAATCTCGTTTACTAGTATCTATATTTACAACTCCTCCATTCCCAGAGTGATCAGTAATGGGTACGATATATTTCTCTTCTGTAACTTTGGGTTTAGCCACATGGTTGCCGTCTGACACCAGCTTCTCCCCGCTGTGAGTGCATGGTGTAGCGTTTTCAAGTTGTGGCTTGAATTCATTTTCAGTCACCGCCTGCGCCTGAGATACAGATGTTTGTAGTGCTGAAGAATTTTCTCCTTCTTTTTCCCAGCTTTTAGCCCATAGATACAATTTTGGGTGATCAGACTTCCTAAAAAACATAATTTACGAATTAAAAATTACACCTGCAGCGCACAACACAACAGAACACCAAACCTGTAGTCTGCAGAATATTTCCAAGTCACTCAACGTTTTACAATCTGAACACTGGGTACTGGGATATTGGGAATGACCCGTTCTTCAAGTGCCTGAACACCGCGGGTCCCAACTTTTCATTGGCTCGAACTATGGACATTCGGTAGGACTCCTTGGACGAGGGATCGGCCCGTCGCGAGGCCTCTACCTGTACACAGGACAGCACAACAGAAAAACGCGTACAAACATCCATGGCTTGAGTGGGATTCGAACCCACGGTCCCAGTGACCAAGTGGCACATGGCCCACGCCTCAGACCGCGCGGCCACTGCGGACCCCACACTGTGTACCCAAGCTTTATATTTGATAAAGAAAGCTTTTATCAGAAGGAATAAAGCCTATCATTTTTGCATGTCTTTCTCAATTGCCGCTACCTTTGAAAAGAGCAACCCATACTTTTAGGAAGGGTACTATTACAACAATTTGTAATTTTCTAGGTAATCATTCTCACATTTAATTTTTGCTCTGTAGCATGTGGTTTCATTACATTTCATTCCTAATATTGTTTGCTGTATACTTTATAAACACCACATTTATAAGAAATTCACAAAGTTTGCAATCAATACCAATTCTCCCTACAAACAAGGACTTCTTTTGCAACTGAAATGTAGCTTGTAATTAACGCTTCACTGTATTCATTGTTTTGTCTTTCTACTCACCCTGCAATATTGACTTTCACCCTCAGACTATGAAGAACCTGCTGAATCTGTAGTAATGACCCTGTCAGATCATGAGATCTCTTTAAAATGGCCTCCCTTTCAAGAATATTTGACTCGTTCTTTGAACGGAAAGACAAACTGAAAGGAAAGTTTATTTTATTAAATTTTTACTCGCTAGTCAAATTGAATGTAATGACATTCATACTTAACTCTAAGCCAGTTGCTACATACAGTATTCATAAATCAAATACACAATAAAATGTTTATCAAGCAAATGTTAACAAATTTACTTACAATCTGCAAAAATATTATCTTTATATTTTTTCAAGGTCACTACATGTTTGTGGCCTTTGCATTAAATGGTTCTAGAATCACCGTCTCCTTCAAAGTTTGTGTGGCTCCTGTGCAAATATTACTGATAGTAGAAAATTAAAAATTAAACTACGAAGGTGGGTGGCCTCCAATGAAGTGACATTCATACAGCGCTTCGTAAAAATCCATCCTCTATTTCACAAGTTATTATGAGAACATACAGAAGCACGTCAGCATACATACAAAGACAGGCGAACACACGCGTGTTAGTACACAAACACGCAGTCATTTATATACTTTATATATATATATATATATTTCCTTGTAAGAATAAGGAAAATGGGATACAAATAATTTTCTATTTATAAATATTTCTTATCCACTATATTCTAAATACATACCTTGGCAGTTTTCCTTCTTTAAGCCAGTCTTGGTCGTGCAAGTATTTCTTTGATTTGCGCTGGCGATATGGATTTAAACAAATAGGACACACATACTTGTCTGGTACTTCTGTTTCCTTTTCAATGTTATTACATATGCCATGTTGCCAGCACAAACAGAGGTCACACTGAGAATGAAATAAAATGACAAATGAGACTGGATAACATGCCATAGCAGTTTGTATCATCAAAATGAGCAGACATCCTGCAGGTATGAAAGTACGCCAATGAGCAAAATGCTGACAACTTGATAGGTTAAATGTTTTATAAAATCTAATCAATAAATCTGAACCATAAAGGCATATATTCAGAATGGCATAAAAAATGGAATAGATGAATGCACATAACAAAGACAGAATAACCAGGAGGTGAGAAGGTGACACAGAAATAGTAGTAGAAAATAAAGCTCAGTACTAAACTCTCATACATTTATATTTTTTGTTAGTATCACAGAACCTTAATCAGTTTTCTTTTTTATGATTAATAGGACTTTTCAATTTTAACCAACAGCAATGTATCTCAAATCCAAAGTAAAGAATAATAAGATACTGGGAATGAAACACACCGCAGAACACTTGTTATACATTACCTGAATCATGAGTCCATCCTCTTCCATGAAACCACATGTGCAGTTAATCAGTTCCTCCTTCCGTAAGTGTTCCACTGGAGAGCGTTCTGCTACGAAAAAAGAAAATATATACACATTTGTAAATTTTAAATCTGAAATCTAAAGTTTATGTCATATTTAAATCTGAAAGATCTCGATGGTTAGAAGTTAAAATTAAATTTATGACGATTTTCATTAAATCAAATACAAAACAAAAAATTATGGATAATGGAAACAACTGATTTTTAACATATGTTAAATTTATGAAAATCTATAAATGAGTAACACTTCTTCACTCACAAAGAAAAACAGATACTATATCTTATACAGTAATCCTTGAATGTTGGGTAAACAAAAAAAATCATAACTTGTAGGATTCGAGGTTTTCACAGTGGTGAGTCTTGCTCCATGTAGTCTAGTAGAAGTTTACTGATGTTTCAGAGGTCCTTGCTGCCTCCCTGATCATGCAGGCAACAAGGACCTCTGAAATATTTATAAACATCTACCAGACTACATGGTGCAACAACCCAGAAGACAGCCATCTTCAATTTGTAACTTGGAAATTATGTACATGTATAATTTTTTAGCCAGTTTCTATTCCGAATGGTATGAAACAAGGAGAAGCTGTATTAAAAATCCTTTCAAATTAAATTTAGGATATGTTATTTTGAACTTAACAAAAATCATGAGAGAATGTAATTGAATGGAACAACTTCTGATCTGTGCTCATAATTATTTATGGGACAAAAATATGAATAACCACAACAGAAAACACACACTCTTCATTAGGCTCTAGCAAAGAAGACTAAAAATTGGTGCATGTTTATGTCTTGTCACTCAGAGCAAAGTCTATAATATGAAGGCAGCAAACAACTACAAATCAACATTTGATTTTCCTAGTTCCTACCTATAAATCTGAATATTAAAATATACAGAATTACAATTTTAGCTTTAGGCTGCTTATTTTGGGTTGTGATGCTGTGCAGTGGAGTTAAAGGTATCCAGTATTTCGAAGGAACATACTGCCTCCAACCAAAGAACAGAAGTGGTGAGAATGGACAAGGGGTGGTTTATGTAGGAAAGAGAAGACAGGAATTAGCTTTGTGGAGAAAAGGAATGGCCATATCACATCCCAGAAACAAGAAGCTGCAAGGATGATGGAGACAGTATGTTCCTTTGAAACCTCTGACACCTCTTCCACCACTATATGGCATTACAACCAAGAAAAAGACACCTGAAAGTTGAATACTGATCAATGAAAAAAACTGAAGCCATACAATTTTGTTATCTGTAATTTTACTTGTTGAAACTTGGTCTCTTATCCTACATAAAAACAGACTAAAGGCATGCTGAGTGAGGGTTATACAAACTCTCATGAATAACTACTATGAAAGTGGCACAGATGGCTTTTGAACCTATGTTTATAATTCTCATTACAGAGCATAAGGTTGACATTAGTTTAATGCTGTGTGTTAATAAATCAATGTGTGCATTTCCCATAATCATTAAAACTGTTCAATCTGTTATACAGTCATGGTGTCCTTTCCATTTTCAACAATTAGAATAATTTATACTACTTTCATATTTATAATGTATATGAACAAATTTCTTATCCATATAATAATAGTTCATATTGTAGTGTATGCTGTGCTCATAAGTAAAATGTATGTACTATATCAAGAGAATGGGTTACATTAACCTCAAAAATATTTCAGGTTATATTTTCCACAGCACATATATATGACATATAACTGTAACTCAGGATATTTTTTTATACCAGCATCCAATGAGTTGAATCATACAAATATCAATCTGAATATGCTTTTCTTTTTCTGGTAATGGCATGACTGCTAGTTTGTTTTACTTGGGAAGTTAATATAACAAACCTTATTCAATACACAATACTGTGAAAATATGAATGACATAGAATAAAATAATAAATACAAAATAAGCAACAGTCCCTCCAGTTCAAACAGAATACAGTATTGTTTCAGAAAGTCTAGTTGTCCCACTAACTAAAACAGAATACATTTCAAGTTAAAAACAGGCTTCTTTCATTGTTAATCAAGGACTAATTTCAATATCACACACCTAATATGAACATTCTGCATTCAAGCCCCATCCATTATTTAAAGTTCTGTGTTAGGGCCAATAACTTAGCTTGCAATTACATATAGTCTTTTAATTATCAGTCTTACTGATCAATATTTTATTTCTATGTTAACTGTAGTTTCAACCTCTACTTGCCTGTTGATTTACCAGTAATATTTTGACAACCAGAATGTCATTCATAGTTAAAATTAATAAGTAGACTACAAAGAGTTACATAGAAGGAACATAAAGAAAATTAAGCTTGGGAGAGGTAAAATAAAAATAAGGTAATGTGATACCTGGAATTTCAAGCAACTTGCTTTCAGCTTGGTCCTGGACGGAGGGAGACAAAATGATGCGACCTACACCCATTGGGGCAAATGAGACAAAGAAAGACACATAGCCACGTTTCAAAACCAAACACATGCAGCAAAGAGTCTTTTTAAGTTGCTATTCCATCTGACAATGCTTTCATTTTTACAACTAATCTCACAGACTGAATAAACTTAAAATATCCAATAAATTCTTATGAAAATAACTAACCTAATCTCAACTCTTTTATAATTCCCATACAATAATTACCATGAATGGCAAATAATAATCAAATTGTTTTTTCCTGCGAGACAATCAACCAAGAAATAATGGCATTCATTGAAATGCATCAGTAGAAGATATTCTACATGAAATGAATTAATCAGTTTCATTCCTTTACAGACTTGATATTAGTAATGTATAATGCCCAGTTTCTTCTCACTTAAATGGCTCTACACCATGGTTACTTGACATCACATAAATCACATGTTAAATATATCATAACCTTATTTCAAGTTACACAATATAATTTACCACTGAAAAACTATACCAACAGTTGAAGATTTCTGTCTTCTGGGTTGTTGCTCTGTGTAGTCTGGTAATGTCAACCAACGTACAATGAGAAACTTTGTAAAATATAGTTTTCCAATTATTATTAGGTTGAAAAAACCAAGGAGGATTGAGTGGGACGTGGGGAGGAGATGAGAAATGCATACAAAATTTTGGTTGGAAAGCCTGAAGGTTAAAACCACTCAGAAAATGTAGGAACACAACAGAGAATAACATTAAAATGAATTAAAGGAAAAAGCGGTTTGAGCATGTGGATTGGGACCATTGGTAGGGTCTTGCACAGTAAAGAACCTTCAGGTTCCAAGAAAAGTGGAAGTACCATACAAGCACTAATAAGGGACCCTCTCCTGCCACCTATCTCATCTTCATTTTCCCTTCAATTCTACTGACCACTCTCCACATATATAAATATCTCACATCCTGATCATGACTCACTTCTGCCTGAAGATGGAGGTGACATGTTTCTCTGATATGTTAGTAATAATCTACAAAACCACAAGTTTTCATAACATTGAAGACCAGAACTGGCATTGTCATCAGTGTAAAAACTTATTTCTCAGACAGGTTGCTATTTTCAACAATATTTGTTAATTATTTTTCATTTCTACATGCCCTAAAGTGGGGAGAAACTTCAAACTCTTATAATAAAAACAAAATATCCTTATAATAACCAAGGTCCCTCAGAAATAAGAACATTGCACTGTCTCTTATAACATTAAATTATGTAAGTGAAAAGCAAAGCACTGTCAATGTTAGGAATAGCAAGTGCATAACCCAATAAAAATGCTTAGTTATAAAACCAGTGATACACCAACAAAAGAAAGCAATGTAATGGTGGATATCAAAATACAATAAAATCCCAATTTAATGTTTCTCTGCAGAGGCAACAGATTTTAAACATAAACTCAGAAATCATAAATGAAAGAAATTTAAAACTGGCAGAATTTCACTAAAACTAGAAAAACTGAACTCAATGAAGGCAAATGAGAAACTGTAAATGAGGATTCTATGGTAATAGAATCTGGGTTATGGCTTAATCTTCGTAAAGTATATTAAACAGAAACTGAAGTTATTGAATTAAATTAAGAGGAATTTGGAGATCAAATCAAACTTTCAAACTCAAATCTTGCAAAATTTCAAATCATATAACAAAGCTTCCACCAGTCAACCTCCAAGAATCATTTTACTGGATGCTAAGCATACAAATCATTTGTATAGATACCAACATAACATTCTCAGTTCGCAATCCTGTTGCTAAAATATACGTATTACGGTTTTTGTGAGGCTCAGTATTTTACCAAGAATAGATCTGAGTTGGAAAGAAGAATGTAAAATTAGTTAACGTGGTGCAGCAAAGGAACTGAATCAGATGATTAACTGTCTCAATGCTTTCATACCATTACTATCTGTGACAATATTTAACTTCTCCAGGTGAACAACAGGTGTCTTCTTTTTGCTGTAACGATA